TTAGTATTTAACAGGATGTTAAATCATATCATTTGTCTTACCTCATTTTAGTTATTTCATAAAAAATACAATCCCATTGCCCTTAGATTCCTTCCATCAGTTACTCTGGCCCATCATGATCCCCAGTCCCCTCCCCTAGTCATAAGCCTGCAGATCCTCTCCCCGCAGTGTCACAGGTGTATTGATGGATTGCACAATCCAGACTGATTCTCAATGACAAGGAATCAGGTATGCTTTTCCAATATGGCCATGAAGTTTCCAGTTAATGGATTTCGTTGTACTTGGGAGGATGTTTAGGCACTATATTAGTCTGTTTTAATATCCACTTGAAGAATCTATGAAATTAAAATAGTGTGATTCCCTCACCCAGTCCAGCTTTAATTACTAAATTTAGAAAAATTGTTGTTCATTGATATGATTATAGGACCTCTCAAACAAGCTGCTCTCTCTTCCCTGAACCATGCCATCATGTCCAAGAGAAGGAATGTTTTCAGGACCCAGGAGAACTTTGGGCAGTGACAGTGTCACTTCCTCACTTATGATAGCAGAACTTCCACCTGAAAATGTCTCTTCCCACTTCAGTATAAATCCTTCCCTGGACTTTAGGAGCTCCAGGCTAACTCTTAAAACAGGGCAAGCAGGAAGAAGTGAAAGTGTTTCTAAAAAGACCACTGTTTGGTCAGGGGACACATTAGGAGCCCCCTTGTCCTTTGAATGAGGGATCTTCATCGAGGTGTAATATGGGAGTCTTGGTTAGGGTTAGGTTTGGAATTTGGACAGTAGTGACTACCCAGCAAGCTCCGTGACATTCCCCTTTTTTCTGATCAAGGCAAGTGTGCTTGGTAAAACTAATACATGGGAGTCCAGGATGAAATTTTTGTCTTTGTCCCTATCTAAACACCACAGAAAAGACATTCTGGCAGGAAAGCAGAGGGTTCACCGTGTTCGACGTTCTACCTCAACTATGACATCAGAGCATTCTATCAGTCCCCTTTCAGGTTGAGTTCCAGAGAATTCTTCTCACTTCAGACCACAGACTTGCAAGTGTCCCTGTCACTAGGCCAGCCCTGATGTCATCAAACAGCAGGAAACAGAAAGTGGTCACAATTAGCAATGAGAGGACAACATCCAATCTTTCCTAAGTTCCTATGGCAACTGAATCCATTACCACACACCTGGGACTTCAATCTTCACACCGTTATCCGCATACAATATGCACGTCAGAATATCAATTCTCTTCACTGGACTGAGTTCAAGGTTATGGAAACACTACCGTATCTCCAGAGGATCTAGGGCTGTGCTGTTGTCTAAAAGAAAGTATTCCCCAAAGTATATATTTTAGTCTTTATTCCCAACCTTAACTATTAAAAAATGTAGTTTTAGGAGTTGCTTAAGTCATGAGAGTGTTCCAAAAAGGTGGTTAGTTTCTTTCTCAATGGGCTCAAAGAGCTTGCTGATGCTTCCGTATCATGAGGACCAAACCAGAAATTGTCAGATGTGAATGAGGAGGAGAGCCCTCCCCAGGAGGCACAAGCGTGATGTAACTAAAGGCAGGTCTGACTGCCCACCACTCAAAAGCCAATACATAAGAGTCAGGAACTGAGGAAAGGGAGAGAGGTTCTGTTTCTCTGTCAGCAACCAAGAAGGTGGGAGACTCTCATCTCAAAGCCAATTAACATCTCACTGAAGGCAAGAGTTATTTATAAGGAGGAACAGTGACAAAAAGATCAGATAGATCATGGGGGAATGCATTGGACATGTAAACAATGTGCTTGTTCATCCAAAAACATTATGACAATATATAAACGTTTATTGTCATAATACTGGAACTACTGGTGCCAAACGAATTTCTGTAATTGGGCTGTATTTGTTACCTGACATTGTGGACAACATTGCTTCTCTCTCTCTCTCTCTCTCTCTCTCTCTCTCTCTCTCTCTCTCTCTCTTAATTAATTAATTATTTTTTTTCAAATACATTTGTCTCTGCCTACGCCCCACAACTTTCCCTTGCCCCCTCCCTCCCTCAGCTCTTCCCCTTTGGTTTTGTCCATGAGTCCTTGCTATATGTTCCATGACTTTCCCCTTCCCTTCCTTTTCTCCGGTTCCCGCTCTCCCTCCTTCTCTCTTGTCTCTGTTGGTTTCTTTTCCTTTCAGTGTTGCTGGTCTTATTTTCCTTCCTTCTTTGTACTGTTGGTTAGGTTCTACTTACAGGTGAGATAATATGGTATTTGTCTTTTGCCCCCTGGCTTATTTCACCTAGCATAATGCTCTCGAGTTCCATCCATGCTGTCAGGAAGTTTAGTAGTTCTTTATTTCTTTCTGCTGCATAGTATTCCACTGTGTAAATGTACCATACTTTTTTGATCCAATCATCTACTGATGGGCATTTAGGTTGCTTCCAACACTTATAGTAAATTGTGCTGCTATGAACATTGGGGTGCATAGGTTCTTTTGTATTGCTGTTTTGGGATTCTTAGGGTATAGTTTCAGCAGGGGAATCATTGGATCAAAAGACAGTTGCATTTTCAGCTTTTTGAGGAAATTCCACACTGCTTTCCACAATGGCTGCACCAGTCTGCATTCCCACCAACAGTGTACTAGGGTTCCCTTTTCTCCACAGCCTCACCAGCACCTGTTGTTTGTTGATCTGTTTCTGATGGCCATTCTGACCGGTGTGAGGTGGTACCTCATGATAGTTTTGATCTGAATTTCTCTGATGGCTAGTGACGTCAAGCATCCTTTCAAATGTCTCTGGGCCCTCTGTATCTCCTCCTTGGAAAAGCGTCTGCTCAGGTCCTTTTCCCATTTTTTGATTGTATCGTTTATCTTCTTGGAGTGGAGTTGAGTAAGTTCTTTATATACCTTGGGGATCAAACCTCTATCTGATGTATCATTAGCAAATATATTTTCCCATAGAGTTTCCCTTTTCATTGTGCTGATGTTTTCTTTCACCGTTCAGAAGCTTCTTATTTTGATGAGGTCCCAGTTGTTTATTCTTTCCTTTATGTCCCTTGCTTTAGGAGACATATCAGTGAAAAAATTGCTGAGTAGGATATCTGAGAGTTTCCTGCCAATGTTCTCCTCTAGGACTTTGATGGTGTTGCCACTTATATTTAAATCTTTTATCCATCTTGAGTTTAATTTTGTGTATGGTGTCAGCTGATGACCCAGTTTCAATTTTTACATGTAACTGTCCAGCTCTCCCAACACCATTTGTTGAAGAGGCTATTATTGCTCTATTTTATGTTTCTGTCCTCTTTGTCAAATATTAGAGGCCCATAGATACCTGGGCTTATTTTTGGGCTTTTTATTCTGTTCCATTGGTCTATGGGTCTGTTCTTGTGCCTGTACCAGATTCTTTTGAGTATAGTGGCTTTGTAGTAGAGTTTGATGTCCGGTATTGTGATCCCTCCTACTTTGTTTTTCTTTCTCAAAATTGTTGTGGCTATTCAGGGTCGTTTATGGTTTCATATAAATTTTTGAACTGTCTGTTCTATTTCTGTGACACATGTCATTGGTGTCTTAATAAGAATTGCATTGAATCTGTAAATTACGTTGGGTAGTTTGGACATTTTGATGATATTAATTCTTCCAATCCATGAGCACGGAATATGCTTCAATTTATTTGTGTCTTCCTTAATTTTTTTCTTCAGTGTTGTATTGTTTCCTGCCAGTCTATCTGGCAGATTTACATTATATATGTAAATATGTATATTTGCACTTCAGATGTGCTTTTCACTTCCTTGAAATAATTAAGTATAATATACTGAACTTAGGACATTCTCACACCTTCAACATTAAAATATCTACATAAAAATCACCAATTTTGCTAATTTAAAAAAAATACCTGCTGATATAAAAGCTTTCATGAAGTAAAAAACAACTGAAAGCTACTAGAGTGATCTCACAGATAAGTAATACAGACTTTTAAACAAATTTAATATATTAATGACTATATTGTTATATGAGGGTGTTTCTAAATAAAGCGATATAAGACATCTTATTGCTTGAACTTCCTAATTGAGGAAGAAAATCGCTACATAAAGAACAAGAACTGTGAAATTGTCGACTCCAGTTTTGCTTAATCACACCATCTGTGTGTCTGGGAGGAACTCTTCTCAATTCTGCACACTGACCTATGCAGCATGTGAACTGTATGCCCAGTTAACACCCATCGCCTGTGGATGAGTTGACATTGTACTGGAGTGACATGGGCAGAAATGAAAATGGATAAAACAGGATGGAAGTCAAGCTTCTGAAAGGTACTTCAAATGAATCAGGGGTGAACATGTTTCTTGTTTCTCTGATTAAAATCTTGTCACCTGGCCACACTCTCTTCTCAGCTCATACTCTGATCTCTACGTACGCAAAGTAGTATCAGATAGTACTTTTTGCCCCCTGAACTTGAAACTTATGCACTTTTAATTCTCCCTCTGATAGTGAGGTTTGACTTTTCCTTGTGTATTAATTACGGGTGATGTCCAAAGGCATCTTTCATTTTAAATATCACTCTTTTATGAGAGTTTACTCTAATTAACCATTGTAGATGATGTTCCTGTTTCCTAGAGTATTTGGTCTCCAAGGGAGGGAAAAGGACCAAAATAAGGGAGTGTTGTTGTTGTTTTTTTTTTATTTTTTCATACAATTATTCATTATCTTCCCAGCAAGACATACTTTTCATTGTTTTGAGAGAGAGAGAGAGAGAGAGAGAGAGAGAGAGATTACTTGCTTCCCACACACAAGCCAGCCTGGGTTTGAAACTTTCTTTTGGTTTAGGGGGATGCTCCAACCAACTGAGCCAAACTGACCATGGCTGGGGAGGAATTCTTAGCAGACATACTTCCTTGACGAGTCGCACTCTGGTACCATGCCCCTCATGTCACTATTCAACCACACATCTCCCTATATAGTAGGAGGGCATGCAAATAAGGCCACTCTGCTCATGAAAAGCAGCCCAGCCTTGACCATGACACTCTGGAAGAAGAGCCCAGACTGGGATTCCAAGGTGTCCCCAGTCCTTGTTCAGGACAGAACAGGGACCATTAACCATGGAGTTCGGGCTCAGCTGGATTTACCTTGTTGTTATCTTAGGAGGTAATTTATGGAGAATGGGAGACACTGAGTATGTGAGATGATATAGAGAAACAGTGGTCATGTGAAACTTTCCTGACCTGATGTCTTTGTGTTTGCAGGTGTCCAGTGTGAAGTGCAACTGGTGGAGTCTGGGGGAGGCTTGGTGCAGCCTGGAGGGTCCCTGAAGCTCTCCTGTGTAGCCTCTGGATTCCCTTTCAGTAGTGCTGGAATGAACTGGGTCCGCCAGGCTCCTGGGAAAGAGCTGGAGTGGGTTGCAATTATATGGTATGATGGAAGTCAGAAATACTATGCAGATTCTGTGAAAGGCCGATTCACCATCTCAAGAGACAATGCCAAGAACACCCTGTATCTGGAAATGAACAACCTGAGACCTGAAGACACAGCCATGTATTACTGTACAAATAACACAGTGAGGAGAAGTCAGGGTCAGCCCAAACAGAAACCTCCCAGGGTGAAGACAGCAGGGCTGGAATGCAGGGAACACCAAAGACACCAGGGGGAGCTCTGGATCCACGGTGATTGATTTCAGCAAAGACATTTGTTGTTTGTTTCTTTAGTTTACTTTACCTTAGATGCTGGGCAGTTTCCAATGGTGATTAGCTTTCATGAGGAAACCTGTGGGACACCCATTTCCTGAAATGGTGGGGATTTATGTGATTCATTAGATTACTGTGAATGGTTGTTAGAAGGATGTTTACTTAATGCAGGTCCTCAGTGTAATGATACATTATAATGACATGTACAGCATAGGAGATAAACATGCAGTCACTTAAATGAAGTGGTGGCAAATCTAACTGACTCACGTGTGATAAATCTAGCACAGATGCACAATCTTGTTAAGACTGCAAATTTCTCAGAGCTCTGTGGTAGGAAACATTTCACCTTTCAGTGAAAACTGAACAGATTCTCTTGTCTGTCCCTGGAACTAAAACAGATTTCAGTGCCTCCCAGGCTGCCACAAGTCCACAGTGTCTGTGATTCCCAAGTTCTGTGACCTGGCTTATGTTTCCATAGTTAACAGCGGATGAAGATTGAACCCGCAGATGAAGGAGCAGGTGCCTGCACATACAATAATGCCCCCCCCCCCAAAGATTCAGATTTTGTCTGAAGCCTTCTTCAAGGACCTCCAGAGACCTACCTCATCACACATTTTACATATTCGGACATAATTCAGGACTTTGTTCAACTGGGGAGATGTGCCAACATCTTCAATGAACAACAGTGAGTGTCACTGCTTGAGGGATGAACATGGACCAAGTCAACACAGTACATGTGATCTTGCAGGAGTCCCGTGTGAACTTGGACTGACCCAGGAACTAAAGACTGAGAAAGTCAATGTCTTGTTTTCCACCCAAATCTTTAATTAGTTTCAGATTTCAAAGGTTCATTTAAGACAATTTAGAGAAAAGTACAGAATGTAGAAATATAACTAAGACAAGTATTTAAGGAGTAGCTAACACAGAAGATATAACAGGAATTTAGTCCACAATAGCAATAAGATGACAAGAATTATACTGCTTTCAACATCAAGGATCAGGGTTTCTGTTCCTCTGTATTATTTAGAGGCTGCTGATCAGGTAAAAGGAATATCATGATTAATTAAAGCGAAGGAAATGGGGGTTCAAGAAGACGGTCCTTTATATAGGGTTATATTTACCTCAAGGCTGACAGTACACAAAGTTCTATAGTCCTGTGCAGCTAAGGTCAGAGTAGGGCCTGAGAAACTTGTGTTAGTAAAAGTTAATTCTGTGTGAACATCACAGTGTAATTTCACACATTTTGAGGGATCAGACACCACTGTGACTATAGGGGCTTTGTTTTTACATGACTGGTAACATTTTTTTTTTTTTTTTGCATGGCAATCAGAGCACACAAATATGAGCAACATAAAGTGCTGCAACATTACATCACAGACCACAATATCCCCTTGCCAAACTGACATATGTGCTCTATTAAAACAAATGGGACCACTGTCGGATACATGGCCTGTTGTTCACAATAAAGCTACATGTCTGCAAGACTGAACAGGGAACTATGGTTGTAGAATTTAGCTATGGTAGATATGTTGAATGGTATGGTTCAGATTTAACATCATTTCTGGAGAAAAGTTTATCTTTTTAAAAGGAACTTGAAAGATGGAATTGGAATAATTTCTACCAGTTCACCTGGTCACCACCTGGTCAACAGGTCACCAGAAGTTATCCTGTCTGGCATTTACTCTTACAATCACAGAGTTGGGAAACCTCTTGATCTTGCTCAGAAGGAAGTCCTACCTGGTTTCAGTGAAGCACCAACCAGGCAGCGAGCTGCTTTCTGCAGGTGACTGACAATGTTTGTGAACCAGCATTGCTACTCCTCTCCACAATCAGAGGGTCACAATGAACTCCATAAAAATGTCAGGGACATTAGGCTATAGTTTCAGTGACAGTGAGCTCTCTGGTGAAGTTTCAGGTAAACTATTGTAATAAGATATTGAAGAATTAAATTTAGGTAACATTTAAATTTTTGTCTCATGAAAGCACTGCTAATAGAAGTAAAGGACAAGCATAAACTGCACACTTTACTTTCAAATGCTATGTCTGCAAAATAACGTATCCTGATTACAAAATACTTTCCACTTATGAAGGAGCTCTGGACCCAGGCCCACAGGGTCTGGTCCCCTTCTGGGAGGCTGGAGATGGAGAGGGTTCCTTTGAAGGTCACAGTGACCTTCCCTCTGAACAAATATGTGGATGAGTTCCTCCACACTCTACTGTCATTGAGCCCAATGGGCCATTAGTACCAGAATTTGAAATCTTGTTTCCGTTGCGACTGCCCACATCTTCTTTTCAATAATTGGATGGCATTGCATCATAAAGAAATGTAGTGACTGCATTGTTTTCCTCTTCTGCCTAAAATGCATGCTTCTGTCTGGTGTAATTCATGAGAGTTCTCCCCTGTACCTCGGTGCCTTAGGGGAGAGTTAGCGCAGAGAGACTTGGACCCAAATACAACACTGCCACAAACAATCAAGGGGTTACAGCTCCACATGCTTAGTAGTTCCTCATATAATCATGGTCATAGGTGTTTGAGTTAGGAAAATGAGGTCTTTAGAAAACTATGAATGATTGTTAGAAGGATGTTTGCTTAATGCAGGATCTCAGTGTGATTATGAATTATAATAACATGTACAATATGGAAGATAATCATGCAGTCACTAAATGAAGTGGTGGCACACCTAACTGACACAAGCTTCATAAATCCATCACAGATACACAGTTCTGTTAACATGACTACTTTCTCAAAGCTTTTTCATAAGAGGCACCTGTGACATTCCCCACACTGTGAAAACTGAACAGGTGCTCTTGCCTGCCCCAGGAATAAAACAGATTTCAGTGCTTGCCAGGCTGCTGGAATTAGAGGACATGGAGTCCACACATGGGGTAGCACCATGGATCTTCCATGACTGACCCTTGAGAAGACCACCTTTGAAAGAGAGCCTGAGTTACAATCAGTAGTGTCTGAATTCTCACCTGTGATGCCTTGATCAGTTTATTTGCCACTAATATTCATAGCTTGAAGTGATTGAAGATGTATCTACAATGTACACTCAAGCAGAGTGGACATTGTGATTCACCTGGACGTTGTGATTTCAGGTGAACATGAGTTCTCCTGACATTTTAACACTGACGTTTACCCATAGAAGTGTGCAGGAATACCTGTCAGAGACACTTCTATGCTGAATATTTACCATGAAAACCCCCTATAAGTAAAGAACATAATGTTATTTGGAAACTAAAACATCCATAAAGTGTTAGGCAAATAGCTAGGCAATTTCCTAAGAGCACCTGTGTCCAGACAGCTCTGTTTTAAAATGGGAATAATTTGTTTTGGAGCATGCCGCCTGATGAAAGTTAGGGGATGCTCCTCATGTTTTCAATGAGTGAGTTGGTCTGCTTTTTTGGATGACCCTAGAAAAAAACAGGGTTATGTCGATTCTTGTTGCCACATGACTTCTGGTCCTTGATCTTCCCCTAAAGGACCTCCAAGATGTTGTTTCTGTTCTGGGTGGCATTTTTAGATGGATGGGCTGGCTCCTGTGTGGAATACCACCACACTGTAAATATTGGAAAATACTGGAGTATAATGTAAGAGTAAATGAGTTAAGTCAGCAGAATAATGGGCTCTTTTCCCTGATCAACATGAATAACCACAGTGTACAGGGGTGAGGGACAAATGAGTGTTGTCCAGTGGCCAGGAAGATGGTAGTAGAAACCAGGTTACTATAGAGATTACCATATGCAGTCCTGAGCTTACAGAAATAACTAGCCATATATGGTGCATATTGAGTAAGGCATGTCCTACCTCATCAGAAGAAACCCCCAGGAGACAAGAGCCTGCAAAGGTACTTTCTGGCTGCCCTGTTGAAGTGCTTGCCTGAGATCCTGTGGTGAAAGGACATGATGATCTTGTGCAAGGCAGTGATGGGTTCAAGGACGTTATATTCCCCTTGTTCCCATGGATCAGCCAAGTGCCATCACATATTGTCTTGTCTGCCAGCTACGGAGACTACAGCTGTCCACGGGATTAATGCACTGGAGGTGCAGTCACCAGGAATCACTGTGAGCAGGACAAGCCACATTCTATGGCCCAAGGAGCCTGGGAATGTGCCCCAAAACCAATAACAGGTGCTTGCTTTATTCTGCGCTTCACAGACCCCATGGCAGGTTCCACTCCTCAAGTGGTATGTAAGGAATTCAGTGTAGACACAGCACCACCATGAACAGCTGTCTTACATTTTCTCATGTCTAGAGAAACCCTTATTCTCATAGCACATAACAGTGGTCAAAGAGGCACCACATCAGATGGGCTTACTCTACTCCATACCATCTTTGTAGTCATGGTTTGATGGAAATTGAAATGGTTTACTGAAGCTTGTGTGTGAATGAGGAGATAAAGTCATGAGGGCTGATGCACAGGAATCATGAGCATATGCTCACTCTCACCACAAGGGTTCCACGGAAATTTCCACTACACAGGCTCCACTACTCTCCTGGGGGTTGAGGATGGAGTTATGACAAAACATGTGGATAAGACCACACAAATCACCCCATATTACCACACCTTCTCTTTTTCTGCAGAATGCAATGTGTCTGGTCCTGAAAGTGTTAGAAGCATGTTTCCTTAAGGAAGCAAGTCTCAGTGCACTTTGTATTTCAACGGTTATATTAGTTTTCATTCTGGCCTGATGGAGTGGTCAGTAAATGTGTTACCCCATTCTGTTTAATAGCTGAAGGGACAGAGAGGAATCTAGAGCAAAATTACTTAACACTATTTTTTTTGAAATAAGAATAAGATGAAACATTGTTATATACATGTCAGAAAAATAAAAATGGGGCAAAATCATTTATGTTGAACTGAAACAGTTGTTCTTCATTCACATGATCCGCAGTTTTCCAGGTGTTACTATAGTGAACATGAGTTCTATCATCTCTGCTCAAACTAATCATAGTTCCTTCTACTCTAGGCTCCATCAGGGCCTCG